GTTGCCTAGGCTCGTTTCTTTTTTTTTTTTTTTTGAGTTGGAGTCTCACTGTGTCGCCCAGACTGGAGTGCAGTGGCTGCTCCCGGGCACTGCAGCCTCAACCCACTGGGCTCCAGCGATCCTTCTGCCTCAGCCTTCCAAGTAACTGGAACTACAGGTGCACGCTACCACACCCGGCTAATTTTTTTTTTTATTTATTGTATAGATGAGGTCTCGCCACCGAGCCCGGCCAAATGTGGTTTTTAAAAGCACTTTCAGCCAAGCATTGTGGCTCACGCCTATAATCCCAGCACTTTGGGAGGCCAAGGTGAGAAGATTGCCTGAGCCCATGGGTTCAAGACCAGCCTGAACAACTTGGCGAGTCCTCATCTCTACAATAAATCTAAAAATTAGCCAGGCATGGTGGTGTGTGCCTATAGTTCCAGCAACTTGGAAGGCTGAGGTGGAAGGATCACTTGAGCCTAGCAGGTCGAGGCTGTGGTGGCCGTAAGCATGCCATTGCACTTCAGCCTGGGTGACAGTGAGACTCCGAATCAAAAAAAAAAAAGTACTTTCATTTATGATACATTTAGCCTTTTGAAAATTTTTATTAAAAAGTAAATTTGATCTATTTTAGTCCCTTTGGGATTATCTTAATTGGTTATCACATAAAAAAAATTTTTAGCCTTTTCTCCTTATTGGAAACAGATCCTAACGGGGGTTCTTCATCTGCTAGGTTGGTTTCTGTACATGCTGCTGCTCACAAGCCACATGTACTAGCACCTGCCTTCCACAGGGAGGAGACTTCTCAGCTCTGGGGAGCCAAGTTACTTACTGGTATACACTTCTGAGGACTGTTCTTTTAAGGACTATTCTTTTAAGAATAGTGAGAATTGCCTGGGCAGCGAGACCTCATCTCTACAGTAAATTAAAAAATCAGCCGGGCGTGGTAGCGCATGCCTGTAATTCCAGCTATTTGGAAGGCTGAGGCGGAAGGATCACCGGAGCCCAGCAGGTCAAGGCTGTGGTGGCCGGAAGTGGCCACTGCACTCCAGTCTGGGCGACAGAGTGAGACTCCAACTCAAAAAAAAAAACCAAAAACCCAGTAGTGAGAGTTATTGTCGCTAACATGAAATACTTCAATGTGCTGGGTACTATACGGCGCACTTTATGTGTGGAACCTCATTTAATCCTTACGGTAATTTTGTGAGGTATAGATAGTTATTATCCCCACTTAACAGAGGAGAAAACTGAGGTTTATGGAGGTAAAGAAGTCCTAAGTTGCTTAGCTGATGAGTGGTAGAAGTAGAATTTGACCCCAGGCAAAAGGGCAGGGGTCCTCAGAGCCAGTACAGTTACCCAGCTCATAGCTGAATAGCCTCTTGTGTACCCTTGGATGGCCAAGGTCAGGAGACAGTCCCACTGTGAAAGGGGACACTGGCAGAAAGCCCATGGGAGAAGCTTTTGGGGGAAGACTCTTCTGCCCAGGTGGTTCAGGCCCTGGGACCCTGGGGTCTAGGGTGAGTGAGGTCCTGGAAGCAGGGTAGACCTGGGGCCAGGCAGCCCATGCCTCATCTCAGCCCCACTTTCCCAGGCTACAAGAGTCTTTTATGGCTGCTGTGCATCCAACACTGTTCTATGCACCCTGGAGGTCCCAGCAACATTGCAGAAGGCATCCCTGTTCATAAGGAAACTGTAGTTTGCATGACAAGATACAGTTGACACTTGGGGGGCAAGTAGGCATGAGTATTTCCTAAAATACATCACTTCCCTGCTTTTTCCTGAGTGTATTTTTCAGAGAATTCTTAAGGACATTCAGAATACTTCCAAGTCTGCATTGGCTTTCAGAGAAGGAATCCCTTTCTTCCTGAACTCACTGACCGTGGCCCCGGTCTGGCTACCTTTCCTCCTTGGTTAAGCTACATTGTCCTATTCAGCATATATTTCCATCTTATGTGTTTGTATGAATGTGCCTGTTTCTGGGTTACCTCAATTTAATTGAATCCTCAAACCATAAAGGAGACTCCAGAAGAGTTCACAAGCAGCACTGGTGGTCAGAGGCTGTTTCACCCCTGCCCTGGGCCCTACTGCTGCCAGCTGCCTGAGCAGAGAGGAGAGGTACACCCGACTTAGACCCCACGCCTGCCGAGTGGGCTGGGAGGAGGAACAGGATCTCTTGTGTCCAAGCCAAACCCGTTTCAAGCCACAATTACATGGTTTCAATTCCAGTGTCTCTTGGTCAGGCATCATGTATTCTGCCACATTCCTCCCAATAGCCACAGACTGCGTGGCTTGTGGGACTCCAGCAAAACAAGACATCTGGGCCCTTGCTGAGGGTTGAAAAGACACCCATCATCTTTTCTTTGTGCAGAATTGTCCTTTGGACACCTGGGTGTAGCCTCCAAGGTATATTAATATGGAATACATACCACTGAAAATGTAGGAGACTGTGTCACCCTGACCCAGAGGGTGTGCTGGCAGATGCTTACAACTGACTCTGAAAATAGAGCCCTTGTTAGCAGCACTTGCCAGTCTCCTTGGTGTGAAGACTCCCACGCACCCAACATGGCGGCACCCAGTACAGGGCCAAGAGGAGATGGGCTGAGCTCACTTCTCAATGGTACTTCCACCAGGCAGAGACAGTAGATGCAAATTGCATCAAGAGCAGAGTAAATGTGGTAGGACAATGAGGAAGTTTGCAGTCATTCGTATATGTGTTTTTAATACATTTTATTGGAAATATGTATAATTTAGGTTCTGATAATGGCAGTATTTTACACTGACTTGCAGTATTTTACACTGACTTGACTAGTGGAGCAGCTATTTCTTGCTCCAGTGCACCACTGTTCGTGGTCTTTGCCTGTTTCCAAAAACAAAGGGGAGACTTAAAGCCATGAGGAAGGGAGGAGCCAGCAGTGCTTCCCTGGCTTGGGGTGGGGCTCTGCCTTGAGCTCCAGGTACCGACCATCCTGTTTACCCAGTGGCCCACCAGCCTGATCCACGTGGCTGAGGAGCATCCTGACCATTGCAGAGCATGAACGTGAGGTTGGACACTTTGCACAAGTCACATTGCTTCAGCCCACCCCAACTTAAAGATAATCCTATGATACACTCTATCAGCCCCATAATTCTGGCCTTTTTCTTTCTTTTTTATTTTTTTTGAGTTGGAGTCTCACTCTGTCACCCAGACTGGAGTGCAGTGGCC